CTCTCTCTCTCTCTCTCTCTCTCTCTCTCTCTCTCTCTCTCTCTCTCTCTCTCTCTCTCTCTCTCTCTCTCTCTCTCTCTCTCTCTCTCTCTCACTCTCTCTCACACACACACACACAAAACTATATAGTCATGCTAGCGTGGCGCTTACTTCTGATAATTACCTCAACAGAAATGCATGGCCTTAACCTACTGTGATGTCTGTACGATCCGACAGTGACTATTCGCTAGTTTTCCAGCAGGTCTTCCGGTGACCTTTAGCGAGGTCAGCGGCGGCGGCGGCGACACCACCTTCGCCCACATCGCCACGCTGGCTGATGGACACCCGCCTGTCAACTGGCTTTGCATCCACCGGCCCCTCAGGGGAAGCAGTCGTCGTCGCCTCGTTCCTTCTCGTCGTGTTATCCAGTGCATCGTGCTAGACGTTATTTAACGAGAAAGTAACCAGGTCTGCCGCTTCTTATATTTGATTCATGGGACAACCAGATGGAGCTTGTCGTCCATACTTGCTCTTTCAACTCTGCGTTTATTGACGGCCGGAATGTTCCACCCATGATCAAGACTGATCCTTCACTCACGGGATACCACACAGCACCAGACTCACACACTACCAGACTCACACACTACCAGACTCACACACTATCAGACTCACACACTACCAGACTCACACACTACCAGACTCACACACTATCAGACTCACACTACCAGACTCACACACTACCAGACTCACACAACCAGACTCACACACTATCAGACTCACACTACCAGACTCACACAACCAGACTCACACACTACCAGACTCACACAACCAGACTCACACACTATCAGACTCACACTACCAGACTCACACAACCAGACTCACACACTATCAGACTCACACTACCAGACTCACACAACCAGACTCACACACTACCAGACTCACACACTACCAGACTCACACACTACCAGACTCACACACTACCAGACTCACACACTACCAGACTCACACAACCAGACTCACACACTACCAGACTCACACACTACCAGACTCACACACTACCAGACTCACACACTATCAGACTCACACTACCAGACTCACACAACCAGACTCACACAACCAGACTCACACACAACCAAAATGCTCAAATTCCTGTTTATTAATATATAAAAATCATCTTTATCAATTTAATTGTTTCTATATAAAAAGACATTTTTGTGATTTATTGTATAACATTTTATTAGTAATTGTTATGATTAAAACACCTAATGATTAATGATGAAACATTTTATGATAATTATTCGTATTTGTTATGATAAAACATTTTATTAGTGATTAATATGATAAAAGATGTGTCTGTATTAGCGCTTTGAACTCCAAGCACTACGCCTGTAGGTCATCTTTAGCGAGTAAAGTTGAGAAGTTGGATCCTGGCTGTATTTCAGCCCTTATTGAGGCTAAGAGTACAGCAAGCACTGGGAGCCGTGCCCGGGCAAGGCCTCCTTGATTGATTGTTGCCGCCGGAGGCTGCTAGTTTATTGTGCACCCCATACTCATCCTGTGAGCGGTAGCGCAAAAGCATCTTAGATTATTACATAAACAATTTTATCTATCCTTCACACCTTATAGTTACAATGTCAGCTAGTTACAGAGAAAGTGCTATTACAAGAGCTACATATTTACAGTAAGTCATCATACATTAATGGTAGGTCTTATCGCTAATACATAATAGTTTGACCAATGGGGATATTACAGAGTCATAGGGGAGCTTCTGTTTATTATTAGTCCTCACAATACACTACTTGTTTCTGAATATAGGACCTTGTCCTCTCCCAGCTCTCGTACCACAGTCCAAACTGTGCTCTTCCTAAATTCGAGTCTGTAATAGTACCCATGTTTCTTCTGTGTCCAGGCCAACGGCCCCAAGTCTATATACAGCACATTCTCCTGTTTGAATAGTACTTATAGGAAGGATGAGAGCCATAGTACATATACCGACGTACAGCACAATTAGAAAGTGCTATCCGCGCTATTGAGTTGGACAAACCGGAAAACTATTGTCTACTTATGTTGCAGACAAACTATACTACTGAACCATCCTATGAGGAGGGTAGACGTGGCCTAAGCTACTCTATCAGTTTAAGATGTATTTTATTGTTTTAATAAACGTACTTGAATCCTCCTAGGCCTAATATACGCTATCTGAGGCTTAATATATTACATATATGTGTGTGTTATATTAGGCCTAGGAATATTTTAGTTTTTGTTTTATCTTCATTTCTTTCGGACTATAAAGTGAATAGTACAAAAATCTACTATATAATTGCCTAGTTGGTCAATGTTTGTACTATGGTGTACATAGTTACATAATGTACTGTATACACAGGAGGATAGTTGCTATATAGAACTGCACTCCTGTCTAAGCTCTGACTTTGAGTCCAACCATCTCATCTTTATCCAGCCAGAGCTCAGAATACGGTCAGGGCTTTATCCTGTAAACACCAGACCCAAGGATCCATAACGTGCACCCATGTCAACCGTGAGCAAGTTACAGCCCCGCTCCTGTGCCAGGTAAGTCCACTACGGGCTCACCATAGTCCGTGCTACTTGGAACTTTTTGTTCCAAGTAGCTGAATCTTAAGCAACAACAACAACCATGAGGGCATAGTTCATCATGTACTTTACTTATGTCCAGGCCTGCCCAACCATTTGACTGGACGGTAGAGCGACGGCCTCGTTTCATGCAGGTCGGCGTTCAATCCCCCGACCGTCCAAGTGGTTGGGCACCATTCCTTTCCCCCCGTCCCATCCCAAATGGTTATCCTGACCCCTTCCAAGTGCTGTATATTCGCAATGACTTAGTATTCTTTCCTGATAGTTCCCTTCCCTTCTGTCCAGGCCACGACTATGTTGTCCAACCAGTATTTCGTCACTATCCAGGCCCCGACCATGGAGTCCAACCATAGAGTACAGTCAGCGCTTCTTCACTATCTAGAGTGCCACATCCCTCTATCCAGAGATGTTAGGGACATTGACTGTGAATAACGAAAGTTTTAAAATTTAAAAAATACAAATAATTGCACACGTAGCTATGAAAGGACTTACTTCTTGCGAGGCGAGTTTCTTGTTTGGTGAAATTCTTGCAAGACGAGTTAGACAAGTTTGTGTGATGATTGTGGCGGGACTGGCGTGGCCTTCCCCGCCCACTTGTGCTTCACCATAATGGACGATAACCCACGTCTCGCTCAAGTGAGAGCTTCACCAAGATCTTATACAACTCTCACTTGAGCGTCACTTGCTCCAATATTGCCTGGTCTTACATATTGACTTTGTTTTCTTATGGTGAGGGGAAGATAAGGGCATGAATGGTGGGGAGGAGGGGAGATAAGGGCATGTATGGTGGGGCAGGAGGGAAGATAAGGGCATGTATGGTGGGGAGGAGGGGAGATAAGGGCATGTATGGTGGGGCAGGAGGGAAGATAAGGGCATGTATGGTGGGGAGGAGGGGAAGATAAGGGCATGAATGGTGGGGAGGAGGGGAGATAAGGGCATGTATGGTGGGGAAGGAGGGGAGATAAGGGCATGTATGGTGGGGAGGAGGGGAGATAAGGGCATGTATGGTGGGGCAGGAGGGAAGATAAGGGCATGTATGGTGGGGAGGAGGGGAGATAAGGGCATGTATGGTGGGGGAGGAGGGAAGATAAGGGCATGTATGATGGGGGAGGAGGGGAGATAAGGGCATGTATGGTGGGGGAGGAGGGGAGATAAGGGCATGTATGGTGGGGGAGGAGGGGAGATAAGGGCATGTATGGTGGGGAAGGAGGGGAGATAAGGGCATGTATGGTGGGGGAGGAGGGGAGATAAGGGCATGTATGGTGGGGAAGGAGGGGAGATAAGGGCATGTATGGTGGAGAGGAGGGGAGATAAGGGCATGTATGGTGGGGAGGGAGGGGAGATAAGGGCATGTATGGTGGGGAGGAGGGGAGATAAGGGCATGTATGGTGGGGAGGAGGGGAGATAAGGGCATGTATGGTGGGGGAGGGAGGGGAGATAAGGGCATGTATGGTGGGGAGGAGGGGAGATAAGGGCATGTATGGTGGGGAGGAGGGAAGATAAGGGCATGTATGGTGGGGAGGAGGGGAGATAAGGGCATGTATGGTGGGGGAGGAGGGAAGATAAGGGCATGTATGATGGGGAGGAGGGGAGATAAGGGCATGTATGGTGGGGAGGGAGGGGAGATAAGGGCATGTATGGTGGGGAGGAGGGGAGATAAGGGCATGTATGGTGGGGAGGGAGGGGAGATAAGGGCATGTATGGTGGGGAGGAGGGGAGATAAGGGCATGTATGGTGGGGAGGAGGGAAGATAAGGGCATGTATGGTGGGGAGGGAGGGGAGATACGGGCATGTATGGTGGGGAGGAGGGGAGATAAGGGCATGTATGGTGGGGAGGAGGGGAGATAAGGGCATGTATGGTGGGGAGGGAGGGCTGCTGTCATCAGTAGCTGTAACTTACCCAAAACGCTTTGGGGCGTCACAGCTGCAATTTCATTTTTAATCCTAGTTCTTTAATTTATATTGTCAATGGAATAGGCTTTTATATTTGCTGTACAGGGACTGGTGCCATAAACTGGGACCATCACTGTTGCCATTTACCATATATTGGTTATTTTGAGATGATTTCGGGGCTTTTTAGTGTCCCCGCGGCCCGGTCCTCGACCAGGCCTCCACCCCCAGGAAGCAGCCCGTGACAGCTGACTAACACCCAGGTACCTATTTTGCTGCTAGGTAACAGGGGCATGGGGTGAAAGAAACTCTGCCCATTGTTTCTCGCCAGCGCCTGGGATCGAACCCAGGACCACAGGATCACAAGTCCAGCGTGCTGTCCGCTCGGCCGACCGGCTCCCTGGAACTTTTGCTAACTAAATTTGCTTTTGCTTTGGTACGCTAACTAGTGCTGGACACTAATGTTGTTGACTGTTGCCATACTCACCAATATGCGTCACACGAGGAAGTTAAAAAACGGATTGAACATACACTTTATTGTTTGTCTTTATATGTGCTGTATTTAAAAATATATCAAAAGGGAAAACATTGGTAATGACTGGAGTGAGGGTGCGGGCAAGTACCCAGTACGGGAGTATACACACCGCCAGCGGTACCCATCTCGGCGTATATACACTCTGCCTTTACTTTAATCCTGGACTACGTTTAAGGGCAAATTGGTGAATGAGATATATTGTAGTGACCACAGTGACCCTTCAGAGGTTGACAGGTCATAATCTCCCACCACCAGGTCAGTACTCAAGGCACAGCTACTCACCCACACGTGAAACAAGCTAATCTGCCTAGTCATTATTATTTTAAGAGAAATAACATTACGATCAATACTAATACTAATAACAACTTATTAGTGATGATACATGATAATATGTATAATAGAAGATATACTTATTTCCTGTACAAATTTATAATGTAATTTTGTTAACTAAGTCAGTTATAAATGTACAATCATTTATGAATAAAGTTTGGGAAGCATATCTGTCTACATTAACACATTGATGAAGAGTCCGGACTTGTTTTTGGCCAAAAGAAAACGCGTCTTTACAATTGTCACTGGAGGCATAATATGAATATTATGCTCTAATATCACAAAAGCTTAGTGCTAAGATATCAGCACTGAGCTTTTGCGGTCAGAAGTATACCAGGGTCGGCAGGTCAATTTATTGGCCATCGTGAATATTTAATAGTTTAACTTTTGACTTTTTTAAGGTCAGACTTTTTTAATTGAAAGAGAGAGAAAGAAAGAGTGAGAGCAAGAGGTATATAACAATTATCCTCCAACTTCGTGAATGAAAAACACATGAAATAATGTTAAAATATATACAGGATACATAATGGAACAAAGGTATTGAGTAGTGCACCCAGCGCATATCTCAGTTGGTACAAACAATTCAACAGAAAAAGAAAAAATTGGTTAATAACTATGCTTGCCTTAAGAGTGGGCAAGTCTCCTGAGGAATTTAGGACTTGGCATCTCTCTTGATATTAGAGTAGCTGCTGGTAAGGCCCTCGACGCCGCCCACCTCGTCGACAACGCCGCCACCGACTCCTAAACCACCGACCAGTTCATTACCAACAACTCCCACGTCACTGAGGAGTCCAGCTCCGTCGTCAACGCCGCCGAGAAGCCCACCACCAAGACCTCCTCCACCGCCCAGGTAACCACCGCCAAGACCTCCTCCACCGCCGAGAAGGCCTCCACCAAGACCTCCTCCACCGCCGAGAAGGCCTCCACCAAGACCACCGCCGAAAACGCCACTACCAAGGCGTTCACCGCCGTAGCCACCACCGAGATAGCCATCACTTAGACCTCCAGCACCGTCAAGAAGACCAGCACCAAGTCCTCCCACACCATCAATAAGACCACCATCAAGTCCTCCAACACCGTCAATAAGACCACCACCAAGTCCTCCCACACCGTCGGTAAGACCACCTCCAAGACCCACACCGTCGAGAAGCTGGTTTTCACCAACCGCAGACGCGAGAGCGCTCTGGAAGTCGATACCACCTGGCAGCTCCGGGATGTTGTCACCGTCGTAGTTGACGAAGTATACTTGTGGGTTCCTGAGGGGCGGCGCGGGGACCTCGATGATCTTCTGTCCCTCAATCTTGGGCTGCTTGTTGAGGACGTATACAATGTTGTCGTACCTGGGCGGCGGCACCACGATGGGGTCGGGCCTCTGGCCGTGCTCAGGAGCCCGAATGAAGAGCACGTTGTGGTATACCTTTGGTGTCGGGATTTTGGGCGGCGGACCGTATCTGGGGATGGGCTGAGGAGCGGCGTACACATGGACGGTACGGTGTACTATGGGTTGGACGCACACACCGTCGATTCTCAAAACCTTGCCTTCTGTGCAGCCTGTTACGGGAATGTCTGAGCCATAGCCCTCAGCGTCGACGGTCGTGGCCACCGTCAGTAGTGAGATGATCACCTGCAACAGTGAACACTCATAAACATGATTACTAATGATACGTAAATGCAACTGTTATATTGTACATGTAAAGCACAGCTATTGTTAAGGACATTGATTTGGATATTATGTTGTTATTACAATGGTTTATCATGTTCTGCACAGAGATCATGGACGAGCGGGGACACTAAAAAGCCCCAAAATCATCTCAAGATAACCAAGATAATCATCTCAAGATAACGAAATATGTGAACATAAGTACAATAGGTCAGGAAACCTCAGGTCAGTACTGGCCCAAGCGAGGCAGCAGCTCTTTATGACCAACGCTTGAAACATTCCAGCTATCCCACGTCGGAGTTACAGCCCCGCTCCTGTGCCAGGTAAGTCCACTGCGGGCTCACCGTAGCCCGTGCTTCTCGGAACTTATGTTTCGTGCCGCTGAATCTAAAACAACATCCCACATCGTTTATGTTGCCTGATTGATAATCTCTTCAATAAATTATACACCCTATTTTCATATCAGTATTTGCCCAGCTTTTCCTTCTGGATCTAAACTTTTCCTAATTATTTCCATTGTTTCGTGTTTTATTTTGTATATATATAACACCCTATTAATATTCCCTTTGTTGTACCCTTTTATCCATTTGTATATTTCCATAAAATATAAATTGTTCATTTTTTATTTTTTAGATTTATTTAAATCTCGTAAGTTGTATTGACTTTGACATGTCTGAGGCTTTGTGTTCTATTTTGTAAGTTACAAAATTCATTTATGTTATCTGAACATAAATGATTTTTGTAACTTACAAAATACACTAGGAAACACAAAATAGGAAAACAAAGAAAATAGACAAACAAAAACATCTTGGCAGTCGGGAATTCCCAGTTTAAGTACCTGATGAAGTTACTTTGCGTCGATGGTAATGACACTCCAAACTGTAGGAGTGAGATACAGTATTGATATTACAGTTCATTAACATTATTAAGTTAATTGAGGACGCACACACCGTCACATTTTAGCTCTCGTCTCTAGAAAAGATCTCGATCATGTCAGCGGTTTACACAAAAGAAGAATTGCATTTATTGGTTATCAAGTGTATATTTTAGGGGATTCATTTGTATATATTAGGAGCTAGGTGGGGTATCCGGCGGTGCCCGGGTCGACCCCACAAAGATTCGCCATTTAAGCAATAAGAGCTTCCAGAATGCAAATTAGACAATGAGTTTCCCACGCCAGAATCAAACCCATCCTCACTAAAGATAGTAATTATAGTAACTCTTGGTCGTAAAAAATGGAATGTTTTGTACTAATGGAATACTCCGGATGGCAAGCTGAAAGACATAACAGTAAGTATACAGTCTAAGCTGTTCTTAGCCTAAATTAATTCAGTAATTTGGTTGGGGACAGGCAGCCTATGTATATTTATACGTTAGGGTTATATCGAGGTTCCCTCCTCAAAGGTCAAACTACTTATCCTTTCCAGGATGTAACCCCACAACAGTTGACAAATTTCCTTGGTACCTATGTACTGCTAGGTGAACAGAGGCATTAGGTGAGGAAACGTGCCAAACCATTTATGTTCCTCCCAGGATTTCCGATTGAGTCCAGAACTAGCCCAGCTGTACTACCGAGAACCTAATCAATCTTAGGTTTAATATTCGCCATCTTAGACGCAACTTAGTACATATATGTGCTATACCAGACCTATAGGAACTTGTACACTTGGTTGTTGCCTTCTTTCTCTGGGTCTCTGAACCAATTAATTGTACAAAAGGTGGGCATTTGGGATTCCAATAGTACATTTTTGTACATTAGACCAATAGTTGCCATAATTACTATTATTCTGGGAGGAAGAGATGGATAATGCCATGCAAAACGCATGTTCTGGTGACAGATTTGTATTCTACAGGCTCCCAACATTTAAATATCGCTATAATTTGTGCATAACATGCTATAATATCTAAATATCGTATTATGAACATATGATAAAATTCAGTGGACAGTCTTGAACATTTCATATCCACCGACTTCAAAGAGACCAACCTCTTCAAGAGACCAACTTCAACTTCAACCGACTTCAAGAGACCAACATGGAGACCAACCCTGACCCCAATATGAAATCCCATTTCGCCCACCAGTCACCCTGCAAAGTCTGACGAGACTAGCCGCAAGCGTTTAGCCTCCAACCGTGGAGTGGCAGACAAATTATCTCTTGTAAATACAAATAATGAAGTTATACGTACAAGTTGGTTGCCCCATTATACTTGTATGTGTGGCAGTTGTGTGACACCTCCAGTACTGGCTGTGTAACACCTCCAGTACTGGCTGTGTGGCACCTCCAGTACTGGCTGTGTGGCACCTCCAGTACTGGCTGTGTAACACCTCCAGTACTGGCTGTGTGGCACCTGTACTGGCCGTGTGACACCTCCAGTACTGGCTGTGTGACACCTCCAGTACTGGCTGTGTGGCACCTCCAGTACTGGCTGTGTGGCACCTCCAGTACTGGCTGTGTGACACATCCAGTACTGGCTGTGTGGCACCTGTACTGGCCGTGTGACACCTCCAGTACTGGCTGTGTGACACCTCCAGTACTGGCTGTGTGGCACCTCCAGTACTGGCTGTGTGACACCTCCAGTACTGGCTGTGTGGCACCTTCAGTACTGGCTGTGTGACACATCCAGTACTGGCTGTGTGGCACCTGTACTGGCCGTGTGACACCTCCAGTACTGGCTGTGTGACACCTGTACTGGCCGTGTGACACCTCCAGTACTGACTGTGTGACACCTCCAGTACTGGCTGTATGACACCTCCAGTACTGGCTGTGTGACACCTCCAGTACTGGCTTTGTGACACCTCCAGTACTGGCTGTGTGACACCTCCAGGACTGGCTTTGTGACACCTCCAGTACTGGCTGTGTGACACCTCCAGTACTGCCTGTGTGACACCTCCAGTGCTGGCTTTGTGACACCTCCAGTACTGGCTGTGTGACACCTCCAATACTGGCTGTGTGACACCTCCAGTACTGGCTGTGTGACACTTCCAGTACTGGCTGTGTGACACCTCCAGTACTGGCTGTGTGACACCTCCAGTACTGGCTGTATGACACCTCCAGTACTGGCTGTGTGACACCTCCACTACTGGCTGTATGACACCTCCAGTACTGGCTGTATGACACCTCCAGTACTGGCTGTGTGACACCTCCAGTACTGGCTGTATGACACCTCCAGTACTGGCTGTATGACACCTCCAGTACTGGCTGTGTGACACCTCCAGTACTGGCTGTATGACACCTCCAGTACTGTCTGTATGACACCTCCAGTACTGGCTGTATGACACCTCCAGTACTGGCTGTATGACACCTCCAGTACTGGCTGTGTGACACCTCCAGTACTGGCTGTGTGACACCTCCAGTACTGGTTGTGTGACACCTCCAGTACTGGCTGCGTGACACCTCCAGTACTGGCTGTGTGACACCTCCAGTATTGGCTGTGTGACACCTCCTGTACTGGCTTTGTGACACCTCCAGTACTGGCTGTGTGACACCTCCAGTACTGGCTGTGACACCAACCAGTTCTGGCTGTGTGACACCAACCAGTACTGGCTATGTGACACTAACCAGTACTGGCTGTGTGACACCAACCCGTACTGGCTGTGTGACACCTCCAGTACTGACTGTGTGACACCTCCAGTACTGGCTGTGTGACACCAACCAGTACTGACTGTGTGACACCTCCAGTACTGGCTGTGTGACACCAACCAATACCGGCTGTGTGACACCTCCAATACTGGCTGTTTGACACCTCCAGTACTGGCTGTGTGACACCTCCAGTACTGGCTGTGTGACACCTCCAGTACTGTGTGACACCTCCAGTACTGGCTGTGTGACACCTCCAGTACTGGCTGTGTGACACCTACATTACTGGCTGTGTGACACCAACCAGTACTGGCTGTGACACCAACCAGTACTGGCTGTGTGACACCAACCAGTACTGGCTGTGTGACACCAGTACTGGTTGTGACACCAACCAGTACTGGCTGTGTGACACCAACCAGTACTGGCTGTGTGACACCAACCAGTACTGGCTGTGTGACACCAACCAGTACTGGCTGTGTGACACCAACCAGTACTGGCTGTGTGACACCAACCAGTACTGGCTGTGTGAAACCAACCAGTACTGGCTGTGTGACACCAACCAGTACTGGCTGTGTGACACCAACCAGTACTGGCTGTGTGACACCAACCAGTACTGGCTGTGTGACACCAACCAGTACTGGCTGTGTGACACCAGTACTGGTTGTGACACCAACCAGTACTGGCTGTGTGAAACCAGTACTGGTTGTGACACCAACCAGTACTGGCTGTGTGACACCAACCAGTACTGGCTGTGTGACACCAACCAGTACTGGCTGTGTGACATCAACCAGTACTGGCTGTGTGACATCAACCAGTACTGGCTGTGTGACACCAGTACTGGTTGTGTGACACCTCCAGTACTTGCTGTGTGACACCAGTACTGGTTGTGACACCAACAAGTACTGTGTGACACGAACCAGTACTTGCTGTGTGACACGAACCAGTACTGGCTGTGTGACACCAACAAGTACTGTGGGACACGAACCAGTACTGGCTGTGTGACACCAACAAGTACTGCGTGACACGAACCAGTACTGGCTGTGTGACACCAACCAGTGCTGGCTGTGTGACACCAACCAGTACTGACTGTGACACCAACCAGTAGTGTGACTCGAACCAGTACTGGCTGTGTGACACCAGTACTGGTTGTGACACCAACAAGTACTGTGTGACACCAACCAGTACTGGCTGTGCAGTAGAGTAGACCACATAAGGTGGTCTACTCTACCAGTCTAGTGTAGGCCTAATGATAATACAGCCTAATATGAAATATATGCTAATGTGATATGCATTATAAACCAGCTTTTTAGGTTTCATATAGATCGGTTAAGTACCATCACTTTTCCAAGTGAAATCTATAATGAACATTTTCTGGTTGGAGAATTCCATCCAACAAGTTTGCGCGTGCATTTCCTAGCACGCGCGTGCGCACACGCTCTACGCCACTAACACTTTTAAGTCTTCAGTTGGAAACCCGGAGTCATGTTGACTTGGAAGTGATGTGAATGATGGTGTAGAGACCTCATGAGGAGTCCAACTCACCGGGAACTTCATGGTGGAGTGTGATCTCTCTTCAAGTGGTGGGTGGACTTTTATACCTGATCCAGTGAGCCAGTCAGCCAGGCAGCCGGCGGGTCAGCGGAGCCTCGCCCTACCACCCCACCCACCTGACCGCTCTTCCTGGTTCCTTTCTTTAGCTCTCGTCTGGTAAAAGTCAAGTCATTGCCAACCGCAGCCACTTTATAATTTCCCTGTTACTGTGAAGGTTATATAATTTATGTTATGTTACGTGTGCGCACTGTTTAATGTTTGGTAGTTCGTGACGACTTGTTAAATGGTTCACGATAACTGTGTATGTATTTGATAACCATTCTTTGTTGATAACCGTTCTTTGGTGGAACTACTGATCCTGCCTCGACATGGTATTAAGTGCCAATGCAACATAACTTTACTAAACTGACCCCAAATCTAAGAGCCTGTAGAGTATAGACCAATTGTCTCGTAGTGCATTGTTCCCCGCGCTGTTCACTCACACTCTAATGGTCCCGGGTTCGATTTCCGCCCTGGACGGGACGTTTGGATACGTTGCTTATGTTCGCCTGGGTACAGGTGGCCTTACCCTCTGAGGAAGGTCAAAGGCTGAGGAAGATCAGAAGCTGAGGAAGGTCAGAGGCTGACCCAGGTCCTCCCCATACTCAGGTAGACCTAATAATCTTCCTGTCTCTAACAATGGCCAACTTGGCAACGTGTGACGTCGTTCTCTAATATGACAGAATTTTGTTTATAAACTTAAGTTATATTTAGACTTGCCTCCAATTTTGCAAAACTAGCTAAAATAATATATTTTTATCAAATTGGCTGACCCCCATGGCCCTTAATTCTTTGTTACTTGCAAAACTTCCATGTTATAATTTGTTGGTAACGTGAACTATTACAACATTGGTCAACCTAAGTAGGTCGTCACAATTCACACCATCAGTATTTTGAAATTGCTCTCGACTACTAATAATTTGGAAAGTACATTGGTAGATTCAAGGTATTGTTGGTCACATTTCGTCAGTTTCAACACACTTCTCTGTTCAATCTTCCCCTTGTTTTAGGAAAAATAGATTTTAGTATTACGTACACACACACACACACACACATATATATATATATATATATATATATATATATATATATATATATATATATATATATATATATATATATATATATATATATATATATATATTGATACACTGGTCGCCCATCTATTGAATGATCGCTCAGAGGTTCCTGAGAGCGACCATTCAGTAGATGGGGTGTGACAGACCTTACTCAGCCCTTATGTGAACGTTCACAATTGACTGTATTTTCAGCAGGCTTTTTTCACAAGTGTCATAGCTACTACTACTACCGCTCTTGTGGCTTGTAAGCTGGTATTATCCATCTTTATGTTAATATACCATTAGTGTTATCCATCTTTGTTTCAATATATCATTAAGGTTATCCATCTTTATGTCAATATATCATTAATGTTATCCATCCTTGTGTTAATATATCATTATATATCTTTGTATCAATATATCATTAAAGTAGTCCATCTCTTTGTTAAATCATTAATGTATAATCCTCTTTATTTTACACAAGATTTAGATTCTTTCGGTTCCTTGAAAAAATAATTATATATTATGCTTTAATTTAAAACTGACTTGTGCAGTCATTCAGCCAAATGGCCACTCATTTAGGTAACTCATATGCACATATATATATTCTTGTCACAAAATTGGATTATTTGCAAGTGTAGATAATTAGTAGCTAAAGACAAACTGTGATTGAACAACGGTTGAGGGTGTTTAATTGTGTCTGGTAGTAGACATTGATGGTCTACTTTGCAGTACTTTCATCAACTTGTTTCCTTTCAAACTTGCAGTACAAAAAAAATATGAAATGTAATGTAGATGAAGTGGCGCTTTCACCTCTTACATGCCATCAAACTGTTAATGGTTCAGACTTGCTGAGTCATCGCCTAAGTCAAATTCAGGTTATAAATTTCCCGTTCCTATTTTTCCAAACTTTCCTTCACCTCTCAAAAAATGGATCGCTTTCCCTTTCATCTGGTACTGTTTGTTTTTATTGGAACAGGTGTGTGTGTGTGTGTGTGTGTGTGTGTGTGTGTGTGTGTGTGTGCGTGCGAGCGTCCGTACGTATGTATGTGTGTACATGTGTTTGTTTTATGTGTATGCGTGTGTATATACAGGAAATAACCGCATACTTTGATGATGTGTAGAGGAGAGAGCTCGTAAGAGAAAGTGCAGAAGGAAACCTTACTCGACTATGATTCATACAACTTTCTTTTTTGCACTCCAGAAACATTTTGACTTTATTAGTTGCTGTTACAGATTGCACGAAAATGTTTGCATATCCTGCACAAGTATCGTGCTCTTGAGGTCTCTCTCTCAACACACAAGCACACAGACATTTCCATACATAAAAACAAAAGAAACAACGCATGCTTAGCTAATTTATTTTATTTTATTTTATATATATAAAGTTGTACCACCTCTGGTGCAGTTGTAGGGACCCACAGCCTCAAAGAAGGGAACACCGAACATTCAGAGAAAAACTTGCCATTTAACTCTGAATACGTATGAGTGTTCACTTCTACCACCCCCCTTTTTATGTTGTATACCTTATTATACAGTTACATATCTGATTGTTAAAAAACGAGAACATTAAGAGGAAATAAGGGGAAGTTTGTTTCCTAGAGTATAGATTTATTCGCACTCCTCGGACGCCGGGCAGGAACCGAGGATGCTGCGGGCATTCCTCCTCTGGATCGCTACACTGAGGCGCTGGAAGAGAAAACTTGCCGCTCTAAGGGGTCAATGACCCTGGAACCAAGATCCTTAAGAAACCTTATAGCATTCTCTCCCCATGGACCTATTGTCTTAGATCCTATTGGAACGAAGTTGTACCAGTGATCTGTTTCCCTGTACTTGGTTGACTTGTCTCTTTCTCTGTGTGTCGCTGCGGCTCCAGCTTGGCCGACAGAGAGGTCAATGTATGTGGTTTGCCAGGGTGGATACGCAAGTGTAGTCCCACACCAACTGTCTGCCACCCTTCCAAGGGCGCAGTGTGATTCCATCTGGTCCGTTGGCAAAGCTAACAAAGTTACAGTTCAATAGATTGCGGGACTCTCTCTCTCTGCTGGACACTGGGCAGAGGCAAGGCTCATTTTAATGATTTCATTGACTTCGTCGTGCGTAGAGTGCCAACCGCCAGATTTTCCACAGTGCAAGCTATGCAGTCTATATTCGTCTGCGTCTTTCTCGCCGCAAATACACCTATGAACAGTGTTGATAGGGCTAGCAAGGCGGAGAACGACTGCAATACGGAGCAGCTGCGGATCAAGACGTGTGCCTGTCGCAGGCACACGTCTTGAAGGCACAAAGATACAATCGGTTGTGTCAGTACAGATATTGTTGATTAATTGACACATCTTGTCCCACCCACCAGCCCGCCTAGCATTATTGTACCTGGGAGAGAGGGACTAGTATCAGCAGTGTTGTATTGTGTTGCTGTGTTATGATTCTGTTTCCAGAACAGGTTAAAGATTAGACTTGTACTTCCTGGTGCGCCTGACCTTTAACTCAGCTTCTGCAAACATCACCTTTTTTCCCCTCGTCTCAAAGGTGCGTTGACTCTTGGCTGAGTGTGCTTTCGCTCATGCTGCTTTTACTTTCCTTTGACGTAAAAGTGCATCGCAATTTACATTAGACATATCATATATCTAGAATGTTATCTGATTAGTATTTCAAGTGTTCCAGTTTTTGTGTTGACTGTGATTTGAGCAGTCTTTAGGATATCTGAGTAAGGCCGAATGTTCACTCTATTTTCTATATTAACTTGTTAATGCTAACACATTTTGTTTTACTTGCTCAGTTAAACGTTTTTGTAGAATTTTTCCATGTTATAATGATTCAAGGAAAGGTAGTTGAATGGAATTCAATACCCAAATAATGTAAATTTAATTAATGTAATTAGCAGTGTATTAATTGACACTACAAATTGTATTCCTTTATATTTTGAGTAAATAGGAAATTTTGTGGAAAATAATCCACTGGTACATTAGAATACACAGTATTGCAATTATAGGCTTATTACCATAGGCCACTGGTACAAAGACACCGCGTGGTTCATATGTCTAGTATAAGGAGCCACGTGGTTCATATGTCTAGCATAAGGAGCCACGTGGTTCATATGTCTAGTGCAAGGAACCACGTGGTTCATATGTCTAGTATAAGGAACCACGTGTTCTTTTATGGCTGTAATGTAGATAAACCTCGAGGCTTCATCTAACAAGATCTTCAGTAAACGTGACGTCATAAATGGAACATCTCAGACACACATCTGGAGAAAATACCACTTCTTATAGTCACAAAATGTCTAACTTCTAGCAAACCAAGATAACATAATCATATAATGGGGTGTAAATATAAGTAGACACGCCACTGGGCCTTGGGCAGTGTCCTATCTTCATATATAATTAGTCAGTTCTAAACATTGTAATTAATCATTCAATTCTTAATTTAATAAACTTACAAAATGTTTTTCATGTGCTGATATGTGTGACTTTTTCAAGTAATTATTTCTTACGGTAAGCCTACGACAATATTTAGATGAGTTTATATAACTTTACTTCTGTAGGATTACCATAATTACCGCCACCACTGTTCCCACACGCCTCCCATACCCGGCTGTCTGTATGGTCTGTACTCGACACTCGCACTCCACGCTCCGCTTCATCACGTGGGCAGGTCACTCCACGCTCGTAGACCGCTTCATCACGTGGCCAGGTCACTCCACGCTCGTAGACCGCTCCATCACGTGGTCAGGTCACTCCTCGCTCGTAGACCGCTTCATCACGTGGGCAGGTCACTCCTCGCTCGTAGACCGCTTCATCACGTGGTCAGGTCACTCCTCGCTCGTAGACCGCTTCATCACGTGGTCAGGTCACTCCTCGCTCGTAGACCGCTTCATCACGTGGCCAGGTCACTCCACGCTCGTAGACCGCTTCATCACGTGGTCAGGTCACTCCTCGCTCGTAGACCGCTTCATCACGTGGTCAGGTCACTCCTCGCTCGTAGACCGCTTCATCACGTGGTCAGGTCACTCCTCGCTCGTAGACCGCTTCATCACGTGGGCAGGTCACTCCACGCTCGTAGACCGCTTCATCACGTGGCCAGGTCACTCCACGCTCGTAGACCGCTTCATCACGTGGTCAGGTCACGGTGACATAAAATAATGGAACGTCATTAAAATGCAGGTGATATGCTTCAGCAGGAACTATAGCTGTACACAGAATACAATGTAAACAAAAAAATATTTACGCTTTTAAATTTCATACTAAATAAATTATATATACATATATAGATTATTCAAAGTTTCTGGACGAAAGTTGTCGATTCCTAAACTGTCGCAGTTTTTCCTCCTGGTTACTGAAGCACCGTGAGTCGCCACTTTTTACCCGTTAACATGAACTGTAATTGACTTGCATTTTCCAGTCACGTATATTAGAAGCCTATATTCATATGTTGTAATAATATGGCCCAGACATATATATATATATATATATATATATATATATATATATATATATATATATATATATACATATAATATATATATATATATATATATATAATATATATATATATATATATATATATATATATATATATATATATATATATATATATATATATATATATATATATATATATATATATATATATATATATATAACAACCAGATACCCATTCACTGCTGGGTGAACAGAGGCGTACAGTTAAGAATTGGTGTCTAGTCAATCCTCCCCGGCCAGGATACAAACCCAGGCCAAATCGCTTGCGAAGTGCCTGGCGAATCACAAAACAAAGTTTTTCATATTGTTAAGGCCACAGAACCTTAATATGTACAAAATACTTTAGAGTACCTTGAACAGGTTCTCATAAGAATAACAACAATTTCATCATTTGATATCAATTAGAACTCAGTAAAACATAACGCAGCGTTTTATATTAAACTAATAAACATTCGCACTTTAAAATTTCGTATATTTATATTAAATAATTTAAATACTTACGTTTCAAAAATAAGATCAGGAGATATTTTAAAGATAAAATAAGTCGCCTTAAAATCTCGTAATTTAGCACAGAAAATATAAAAAAACGCCTGGTTTTAAAGTTTATAAATGAGGCTTTCGCAGCCTCAACAATATATAATTTAAAAATTATCCAATAATTCTTCTATTTCATCACTCGAGCTTCTTAGCAACTGAGCAGACGCGGCCACGTGCTTGTAATGTTTTGATATACAGTGGTGCTATCTAGTGAGAGCGCCGGTAACCTTAGTTTGCCGCCGAACCCAAATTTCTTCTCTTACAAGTTAGCTTCTCCCGGAGGAATATAACTGTTCTGTAAGAAGCGCTACGAGGCTGGTCGCAACCCATGGTTATTATTGTTATAGACCAGTAAGGATTGTTAACACCGTAACACAGCATTTTGACAGCTAACACACACTTGCACTGCTTATAGCACAGTAGCCTACGTCCTCTGCTCACAATACAGATTCCCGGATTCATTCCCTGGGTAAAACAGAGAGGGTAGGCACGTTTCTCTTCACCTGATGCCTCTATTCACCAAGCAATTAAAAAACTGTTGTAGGCAACAACCTTGGAAAGGGCAGAACATGGCCTAGAGGGACCTCGATAAGCCTACCTTCCATAAAAAACTAATATAAAATCATACATAAACTCGTATAAATAACTTGACCAATCCTTTTGGTCATCAGCTGTGTTTTGTTTACAATGTGGATTTCTGTTTCTTACTACGGCGGCAAGACACCACATGCACTAGACTTGGACTCTTGTTTCTTACTGTGGCGGCATGACTGCACCACCTGTTCTGCGTATCCCATTAGTTGTATCGAAATTCTCTCCCTAGCCCAGCCTCTCGTCGTCTACGACTTTTAAAACACATCAACAAATTCTAAGAACAGATATGGTAAATGCATTCTTGACATGTGCCCAGGAACCTCATTAAGGTAGCCTGAAACCTAGTTTGAAATATCTGTGTTAGGATATGTGCGCACATTACAGTTTGCGCTGTTTTATTTTTTGTGATATATACAAGAGTTGTTACATTCTTGTACAGCCACTAGTACGCGTAGCGTTTCGGGCAAGTCCTTAATCCTATGGTCCCTGGAATACGATCCCCTGCCGCGAAGAATCGTTTTTTCATCCAAGTACACATTTTACTGTTGCGTTAAACAGAGGCTACAGTTAAGGATTTGCGCCCAGTAAATCCTCCCCGGCCAGGATACAAAGTTTCTCACATATAATATATATATATATATATATATATATATATATATATATATATATATATATATATATATATATATATATATATATATATATATATATATATATATGCAAACAAGCCTGAATGGTCCCCAGGACTATATACAACTGAAAACTCACACCCCAGAAGTGACTCGAACCCATACTCCCACAACTGGTATGTACAGGGACGCCTTAATCCGCTTGACCATCACGACCGGACATAAGGAAGTGATAGCCGAGGCTATATGAACCACTTCCCCGCCGGCACTCGGATGGTAATCTTGGGCATAGCATTTTATCAAATCACCTCATTCTTTGGGGCACACGTGAGGAACACAAATGCAAACAAGCCTGAATGGTCCCCAGGACTATATACAACTGAAAACTCACACCCCAGAAGTGACTCGAACCCATACTCCCACAACTGGTATGTACAGGGACGCCTTAATCCGCTTGACCATCACGACCGGACATAAGGAAGTGATAGCCGAGGCTATATGAACCACTTCCCCGCCGGCACTCGGATGGTAATCTTGGGCATAGCATTTTATCAAATCACCTCATTCTTTGGGGCACACGTGAGGAACACAAATGCAAACAAGCCTGAATGGTCCCCAGGACTATATACAACTGAAAACTCACACCCCAGAAGTGACTCGAACCCATACTCCCACAACTGGTATGTACAGGGACGCCTTAATCCGCTTGACCATCACGACCGGACATAAGGAAGTGATAGCCGAGGCTATATGAACCACTTCCCCGCCGGCACTCGGATGGTAATCTTGGGCATAGCATTTTATCAAATCACCTCATTCTTTGGGGCACACGTGAGGAACACAAATGCAAACAAGCCTGAATGGTCCCCAGGACTATATACAACTGAAAACTCACACCCCAGAAGTGACTCGAACCCATACTCCCACAACTGGTATGTACAGGGACGCCTTAATCCGCTTGACCATCACGACCGGACATAAGGAAGTGATAGCCGAGGCTATATGAACCACTTCCCCGCCGGCACTCGGATGGTAATCTTGGGCATAGCATTTTATCAAATCACCTCATTCTTTGGGGCACACGTGAGGAACACAAATGCAAACAAGCCTGAATGGTCCCCAGGACTATATACAACTGAAAACTCACACCCCAGAAGTGACTCGAACCCATACTCCCACAACTGGTATGTACAGGGACGCCTTAATCCGCTTGACCATCACGACCGGACATAAGGAAGTGATAGCCGAGGCTATATGAACCACTTCCCCGCCGGCACTCGGATGGTAATCTTGGGCATAGCATTTTATCAAATCACCTCATTCTTTGGGGCACACGTGAGGAACACAAATGCAAACAAGCCTGAATGGTCCCCAGGACTATATACAACTGAAAACTCACACCCCAGAAGTGACTCGAACCCATACTCCCACAACTGGTATGTACAGGGACGCCTTAATCCGCTTGACCATCACGACCGGACATAAGGAAGTGATAGCCGAGGCTATATGAACCACTTCCCCGCCGGCACTCGGATGGTAATCTTGGGCATAGCATTTTATCAAATCACCTCATTCTTTGGGGCACACGTGAGGAACACAAATGCAAACAAGCCTGAATGGTCCCCAGGACTATATACAACTGAAAACTCACACCCCAGAAGTGACTCGAACCCATACTCCCACAACTGGTATGTACAGGGACGCCTTAATCCGCTTGACCATCACGACCGGACATAAGGAAGTGATAGCCGAGGCTATATGAACCACTTCCCCGCCGGCACTCGGATGGTAATCTTGGGCATAGCATTTTATCAAATCACCTCATTCTTTGGGGCACACGTGAGGAACACAAATGCAAACAAGCCTGAATGGTCCCCAGGACTATATACAACTGAAAACTCACACCCCAGAAGTGACTCGAACCCATACTCCCACAACTGGTATGTACAGGGACGCCTTAATCCGCTTGACCATCACGACCG